AGAAGAAAATAGCTTCAATCTCTCTATTGAGCAGCATTGTTTCACGTGGTTGGTCTCTAACTACTGATATCATTCAGTAGTATACACTATCAGACTAAGTTTTGTAATATCTGGATAACCTGAATTTGTAAATCTCCCAAAGATGGTGACTTCTTTCAGTGGAGAAACTTCACCAAGTTTTAATATCTCTTGTTCACATAATTATTATGTAAGCGTAACCATATATGGAACAACTTATTACAGTAACTAACGAAAGTATTACAAGTACTGATTCGCAGGGATTTGTCCTTGCAAATCAAATACTGAAAATTAATGTACTGCTCACTAGCGACTAAGTACAGGATGGAGTTGCTTGAAGTTTAGCTAAAAAGTTGTGACCATTGGGTTCTATCTAGCCGGGTGTTGAGGAGAGGTAGTCGCCGATAACGATGGCTACCTGTAACACTATATGTTACAAACTGCCAGAAGTGAGAACTGATGGACTTTTGGATCCTGTTCCAATGGTGAATTGTTCAACAGGTTCAACACGGGTTTTGATTTGAAAGCCTTAAGTTCGATATCGAGTGAAGTGATGGGTAATTATTGATGAAGTGTTCCTAACTGGAACAAAAAAGTTGTCCAGTACTCCTTGAGTTTCACTACTTCTCCAACTGATGTTATTTCGTAATCTAACTGGGGGTTCTGAACAACCCAGCTGTTATTACTACTTGATAAAATGTATCTATAGCACATTGAAAGACTCATGCTTACACGTGTTCATGTCTTATACTCTTTCCAATTATTCACATTACTTTTTCCACACTATCAGAATTAGAATGTAGATAGATGTAAGATCTTCAAAGGTATCTTCATTCATATTATCGTGTTATTTATGCAAAGGTTTTAATCATTTTTGTTTCGTGAATCAATTTCTAGACATGTATGTGTGTGTGTGTGTTATAACTGAATAAAAGCCGTTACAGGCAGAGAAAGGAAGTGAAAGGAAAAAAAATAGAGTTATGTTTGCTCTATCAGATGGCAGAACATTTCTTTTATTAATGAATGAAGTTCATTTGTCTGTTGGTGATTTTCGTGATCACATTATCGTGTTGTAAGGTTATGTAATACATAACAGTTTTATCAGCCAACAGTTTATATATATATATATATATATATATATATATATGCATATATATGTATGTATTATTTTGTTGGTGATTAATTTTCTTTGTTGAAGTGAGAGAAAGAAACGAAAACAAAAAAACAACTTCATTTATTTTCCATGTCTAAATAAAATGACTGGATATTTTATTAGGAGTGACTTACTAAACACCATTGAAAATGTTCTATTAGGAAATGGCTTCCTTCATTAACTACAACAAAAATGAAAAATCCTAACCATGTAATCGGTGATTCAGTTAGTTGAATATGCTCTCCAACCACCTATGTTGTGGTATGGGTTCTAGACCCAGCCGATGCGCATCCCTGAACCTCCTCTAACCGGTACTAAGTCCACCTGATGAGGAATGGTTGAGCGTGAGGCTGACAACACCACCTCTACTGAAACTTCAGAACTCAATCTTAATAACATTGATCCCTGGATCATTCCTAATAATCTTCTGTTTCAGAGAATTAAATAGAATTGAGTACATGATAAAATTAACTGGCATTTGTGATAAATAAAGCTGATTACTTGACTAATTGAACAGAGATTTTTGCTATACACTTGTTTGTTTTCATGAAGAAACCACCAGTTCACTATAACACAAAGTCATAATGCGTATATATATATATATATATATATATATATATATATAGGATTTGTCATAGAAACCAAAAGAATGATTTGTTGTTGTTGTTGTTGTTTTCGTAAACTGATGTGACATACTTCCATGTAATTTTATCAAAAATTAAACAATAACAGTTACAATTTGAATTAACTAGGTATATGAACTTAAGGTGGACTTTGAGTTGATGTTTCTTGATAATATTAGGCTGATATGTTTCTGAGTTGCATTAAATTTGATGTTTAAAGCAACAGACCATTTTAAATAAAGCTTAGCAATAATGATAATAACAACAATAACAGTGAGTATAGACTTTTGGACTGATTATATACTCATTGTAATTTTTGATACGCTTTATATAACAGAAATTTATGTGAAGATAAATTAGTATGTAAGATAGTCGGAGTTTATTGGACCTGAGTTTCTTTATGAAGCGTATCTGTAAATGTGATGCAATTGATATCCTATCTGATATTTAGCCTACTTTTAAAACTTAGCTGATGGGATTAAGTCAGCTTTAAATGCCTGATGACACAACACTGATCTTTTTCTGATGACCAATGAATATAGCCAACTTAATCCTACAATAGTGTTTATTACAGCCTGAGTAACTCTTAGCAGTGGTAACACCTGTGACTACAGCACTCTCTGATGGAGTGTAAAATTGTAAGTTGACGTCAATTTCTTCGACTTTGCACATGCTTCTTCTTTCTAAGTCAGCGTAATCACAACTTTGTAGATCCTCACAAATAATGACACGGATGAAAACTTAAAGCCGTTCTAACAAAATACAAACCTTAAACTACCTGAATAAACAAACCGTTGGATATTAACAACAAACACAGTAACATTACTCTACAGTGATTTAGTGTCTTGCAGACTACATGTGTATATTCAATGGAAGGCAATAAAAGGTGGGCTATTTTTGGCACAGTTCCTAACCTTGAAAAACCTGTATCCCTAAATCGATGCACAGTGATTATGTCATAGGTGTACTTTGTTTGAATAAATTCGATCATAGTTTCTGTTGTAGTGAGCATTATTTATAGCTCGAAAATACTATAACGTTCATAAAACAGAAATAGTAGTAGTAGCCGCATCATACTGGAGAGAATTGAACAAGCCCTCGGTGAGAAACTTGGGTGGGAACAGGCTGGATTCAGAAGAAACAAGTCATGTATTGATCAAATCGTCACACTACTTATCATCATTGAATAGAGCTTGGAATTGCAGTCACCTCTCTATCTCAACTTCATCGACTTTGGAAAGGCCTTCGTCAGCGTCGATCAAGAGGTGATTTGGAAACTACTTCGCTACTACGGGTGCCGCCGACAATTATACATCTCATCCAACAGCTGTACGACAATGATACATGCCAAGTAATTCACAACGGAAAACTTACAGAATCCTTCGAAGTAAAGACGGAAGTAAGACAAGGCTCCCTACTATCGCCAAGGATTTTCCTGATTGCGGTAGATTGGATAGTGTGACAAACAGTGGGCAGTGAGGAAACAAGCATAAAATGGACTCACACAAAAAACTTGGAGGATCTGGATTTCGCCGATGATATATGTCTGATTTCCCACAAACTTGAAGATATGCAAGTGAAAAGCAACAAGCTGGAATAAGAAGCATCAAAGATAGAACTCCAAGTAAATATAGAGATAACAGAAGTGATAAAGATTCCTGGCCCACACCAACAACAACAGACAATGACCAGCCAGCATAAATGGGAGGAACCTGAAAGAAACAACTTCCTTTACCTACCCACCTAGCCGGGAAGCATCGTTTCAACTACAGGCGGAACCGACGAGGATATCAAAAGTCAGAATCGGGAAAGCAAGACAAGCTTTCACTACTCTCAAGTCTGTGTGGAGGTCAACATCACTCACCATCAAAAATAAGATCCGGATTTTCAGCTCCAATGTGAAGTCAGTGCTACTATATGGATCAGAGACTAGGTGAAAACTTTAGCAGAGAACCGAGTTCAATGGAGACGCGCGGCTGAAGCCCTATGTTCCTCCAGGAATTAAAGGAAATAATAATAATGACAGAAACTGAGGTGGTTGAAACTATTCAATCACACTAACGTAACAGTTTCGGTTCACAATGCTTCTTCCTGGAAGAAAATTTATAGAACTCATCATTTTGCAACAGTGTGTTACTTCTCAATTTAATTTAATTTTTTAAATATTTATTTATCAGTTGTTTTTAACAGTGGGTTTCCTTAAAGTATATGAATTCTCCTGTGTTGATTAGTTTATTTGACTTAAAGTGTCAACTATGCACCAACTTTGAATTTATCTTGATCAGATTTTGTATTTATATTTCCTTAAATATTTTAAATTTTGTAAAAAAAAAAGCACATGATAAATGAGTCTAACTGTAGACAAAAGAAGGCTTATGATAAAATGAACTATTCTTCAGTATCGATCGACATAGTAATAATAATCTACGTGTGGGAATGCAGGAATCTTCGTCAGCTTATTGTCTGTTATATGCGCATTTAAATCCAGTTTGCCAGAGTTCTTCACATTTTGGTAAATGTCAGTCAACTTGCATCACAGAGATGTCTATTATTCATTTTTAAATAGGTCTTCTATTTGAAGAATAATAAGTTTAATACAAGTTATTTTTGTAGTCGGTAACTAGCAGTGATATTCAGGTTGCACATTCCCTCTTATTTTGCGTCGGTAGCACGGCGGTAGCATGCTCGTCAACAACACATATGGTTCGGGGTTTGATCCCCGGTCGACGCAGTACTTCATTACCTTGCTAAGCCAGTAATGAGACTGGTAAAGACGGAAGGTTAGGCATGAGGCTAAGAATCCCATCCCGTAGAAATAATACACCACTGTTTGTGACTCTTCATCAGTCTACACCCACAACCTCAATGGCGATTGAACCTGGGACCTACAGGTCATGAAACCAAGCTCATTGACCATTCAACCACTTAAGCTGGAGTTCAGAGACCTGTGAATTCTCACTTCATCAATTCGTGATGTAGTTCTACCATCAGCTAATGTCTTCGATAAACATCCGTTCCACCTTGATATGATGGACCCTTCTGTTTACGACTTCTCAAATACAATCTCAGGAAATGCATCAAGTAACCATCATAAGCATAATCCATTCTACTTTAAAGCTTTTAAATTGACTTGTTTATATAATAATAATATAATATCGTCCGATGTCTTATTTGTAATTTTCTTTTTCTTGTTTGTTTGTTTCTAGATAAACCCTGATCTACCGAAAGGTCAAGGTGAGAAATTTTTACTGCGAAAAGTTGCTGAAATGTTGAATTTAAATTATGCATCTAAGCAACCGAAACGTGCAATGCAGTTTGGTAGTCGTGCGGCTAAGGCGGAAGGATTTAAACGTTTAACCGGGTCAGCTGATCAAGTTCAATTCACTAATCAATGTGAATAAATGTCTACATAAGAGTTTGTAAGAGGGACTGAGAATATACATTCCTTATCGTTGTTCTATGATATCCTCTGCAGTATTTTTTATTCATTTAAATGTAGTATACTCAACAAATTTTTACTGTCATTCAAATATAAATCATATCTTACAAGATTTTCCTGTGTCAGCTGATAACTGAATTTTATTCTCTTATTCTATTAGTATACAGTACTTTCGTTAGATAGCCTGTATACGATGTCATTATGTTTATTGAAGCTTAGGAATATCGTATTATCAAAGTTAGACAAATCTTTCTGATGAATACCAGTAGGATCCAAGTCAGGTATAAGGACAAATGGCTTGCAGTGACTCTAAAGCTCATAAATTTGCATAATTTACAGATGATGGACCATTGAACTCTGCCCAGTGACTGAATTTTCAGCTAGCTCGCCTCCTAACTTGAAGGTTATGAATTCGATACCCGATGGTGAAGAATCTCAGACTAGGAAAAGACAGTTGTCCAGTACATCCTGGCTCTCAATAGTTTTCTGAATGATTTCAGTCAGTGATCAAACTTAAAATAAACGAAATCCCTACAAATTGACACTTTAGAATTCCCAAGTATATAGCTTATATGTCATTCTCTTATAGGTATTCCTTCACCCACTTAATTTTTTTTCCTTCACGTTCCCCAGTGGAACATAGGGCTTCAAGCTAGTGGCTTGAATTTTTTGTAGCAGTGTTTATATCACAGGATGGGGTTGCCAGCCTCATGCCTAACCTCTCCTCTTTACCAGCATTGTTTCTGACTTAGCGAGGTAAAGGAGTGCGTTGGCCGGGGATCGAACCTTGGACCATGCGCATGGTCGGTGAGCGTCCTAACCGCTACGCCACCGACGCCAGCCACCTAATTGCTGTTCTCTACATTCCTGTTTGCTTATTATGCCAATTTTACTGTAGAAAGCGTGTCAAACATTTTCTCGCTTTAGTGGCCTTGCGCATATTTGTCATGCGTTTTTCACCAATTAAGTAAAATTACCGATATATTGGTTGTTCATTTAAAAAGAAACTGGGTTGTAATCACAAATGTCATTTTTTAGCTTCTAAGGTGTGTGCGTTTGCCAATCCTTCAAATTGTTTTCAGCCACCTGATATCAATTAATTTTGTTTTCCTTTTGAATTGTATTCATGATTGTAAGGTTTCATAAAGTTTCTTTCCTCTACTTAGTAGCATAGGTTTGAAAAATGAGGAGTTTTCATTCCATACTAGATAAATTTATCTGATTTAAAACACAATGATGCAGTATTAATTACTGGATGACTTTCCGAGAACAATTTTTATCCTCCATAGTGCCCAAGTTCTGCACTTACATTAAGGACTGTTCCCAAGAAGACAGCGAAATCCAAATCTTCTAATATATCAAAAGCTACAGTAGTATGGACACGTGTCCGATATTAAACTAGTAACCTTTAGTGAATCTACCGCCTACTGTAGTTGAAATGTTAAATTCTAATTTATAAAGCTCGTTGATTATTTCAGAATCACGTAACGTGGGCGAAGCTTTGTGGGTTTTTAAATAAAAAAACTTTCACTAACCTTTTTACCATAAAAAAGCTTCTTCAAGATGTGTCCTACTGAAAGGATTTCATATAAATTACCCGTCATATTCAGTATCTTTATATACGGAGAATGTGATCAAGGTAATAGCTTATGCAAAACGAACCCTCCTTAATTAAAAACTACTGGGTTTTGTTAAAGACCAGATCGTCCGATCACTAATAATGATAATGAGTTAGCCTGTTATATATTGATTAGGAATTCTGTGAATCACAGACAGTTTCTACTTATAAATAACAAATGAGTTCAATGCTCTGTTATAGCTGGCTCCAAAAGTGCAACATTATAAAATTCACTTCTCTCTTGGGAATTTCCGAACAGTTGTAGTGTGCAGTAGTGTTAATTTTATTCTCAGTTGCTATATTTGATAGCACTTTTTGTCATCAGTCAGTGTTTGTGTGTATTTTATGCTGACCTGAACATTTTCTTGCTCTGATTCACCTAAGTAACCTTCATTTCTGTTATATTCTTTGTCCTCTATTTCTGATATGTATCCATATGTATACATATATATATATATATATATCTATGGTGGTCTCTCTTTCTGTTGCTCTCTTAGTCTGTGACCATTTCACTTTGATGAACCTGTCTCCTTTAACAATTTATATTCCCCTTATATTATATATAATATGTGTGTTTGTTGACATGTCTGCTATATTTTGCTATGTATATATGGATCGATACTCCATTATAATTAGCCAATCATGTTAAGACTGTCTATTGATTGTTCACACACTTGTTCGGACATTCATACATATTTTTGCTCGCACACTCTTGTGTGAATTGATTCTCCTTGTGTTTGGAAAATAGAAGTATCATCGCAAACCTAGTGGTCTTCTGGTTTCCGTCTTTCTTGCGTCAGGACTATTAAATTCTCGACCAGTAAATAACAATAATTTGGCGACGAGTACATAACAATTTGGCGACGGGGAAAACTACTATTGACCACTCAGCAGCAGCAACATAATAATTTCTCCTGCTTAAATGTCAACACTGATAGTGTGAATTTTTGTTTTTCCTTTACACTCCCAATGGAGTGTAAAGAAAAAGGTTTCAAGCTAGAGGCTTTAAATTTTCGATAGCAGTCGAATTTTATTTTTACGAGATGGGGTTGTTAGTCGTCTCATGCCCAACCTTCCGTCTTTACCAGTCTCATTACTGGCTTAGCGATGTAATGGAGTACTGCGTCGACTGGGGATCGAACCCCGAACCACACGCGTAGTTGACGAGCATTTTACCGCTGTGTCACTAACGCACGATAGTGTGAAACAGTCTGTTTATTGCATTGAAATCAGTAATGTTTGAGAAAAAGTTGCACCTTATTGCATCCTAAGTTTATTCTACAAAGTTAAAGAAAAGTTATCGCTTATAATTTCATTGCTGGTATATAAAGTTGAGAATTACTTTTTGATACAATTCATTGTGATTCTATTGTATTGTTTTTATTCCACTCTTGTGTGTTGTTTTTATAATTTCTATCCTACTCGTTCTCTTGCTTGTTTTATTATTCAACGTATTCATTATCTAGGAGAGAGAAAATAGGAGACGCAATAGAGAACACATGAGGCTGTTTGCATATACACTTTTTCCCTAGAGATATAATATTCATAATAACTAACATAAAATATGAAGGTGTTTATTGTCTGTACAGGAAGCTTTACCGTGCTGATATCGTCATTGCTTTTATCGATGAAGCTGCAGATATCTGCGATATACTCTGCTGCCTACAATGTTGCATCAGATAGTCATCTATTATTATTATTTTTTTAATATTCTCTAAGTCTGTAGACAGAGACTTGATCGATAATTTTCACTGAATTATTTATGAAGATATTACATGTCCTGTGTTCGTCTCACACTGTTCAACTGGAAATAACTTTGTTACATTATTGTTACATGATACCAAAAAAATTGAAGAAGAACACAGACCTTTGTGAATTTCTACCTATTTGTTGAAATACTTTTTCACCCATTATTACAAAATAAAAATGTGTCCCTTCAACCACAACCAACATCATGATTATTTTCATAGGATTTGAATGTCCCAACTGTCTTTTTAATGTTTCGATTTACTTCATTTCCGTGTATTCTTGTCATAATATTCCATGTCTGATTGAACTTCATTGCCATATTTAGTTATTATCGTGTAACTGTAAGGCATTAGTCAATTGCTCATACACCCCTATTGTGTCTTTTGACTCACATTTGACTCCTTAAATTTGAACCCCAATGGTAACTCTACAGCGACTTAGGATAAACAGCAACTAATCAGATTGTTTAGCAAAGTTATTAGTTACTGTGTTATTCGCATTAGAAAATCTCTGGTACTCACTGAATCCCACCTCTTCCTTCCTTCTTACATTCAAAATTTCACCTGCCTTATTGTCTTGATTAGTCTGGTCTTGAGATGAGTAATAACTTCCTGTTGGTTGACTGCTGCTATAACAAATGCATCACAGTATTGTATCACTTAGCCATGTTGCATACTTCACTGATGCCTTCTATATCAATACTCAAAAATATTTTTAGGCGTTTGAACAACTACTTAGTGTCCTAGTATTCTTACCAAAACATCACAAAGATCTATTTCAAAGTATGTATATGTGGGCAAATACTTAGTGATTTACTTTTAGTAATTAAAAGTGATTGAAATACTTCAAAATAAATTATTTTTGCATAATATTTTGAATTAAATTTTAGATTGAATTCTACTCACTTTGATCTGAACTTCGGTTGTAATCATTTAAGGTAGAATGAGCATAGACATGAGTTGAGAAAAGTAATATAAAATCAAGTAAATGAGGCATGAAGTTAAGAGAGTATGTGGTTGTGCATACAACAAGAAATTATTATTATTATTATAAGCGATCAAAAACTGAGATTTTATGGGTCAAATAAATTGGAAATATGATCACAGGAGTGATTGCATTTAGCAAAAAATACAAATGAGAGGTTATAGAAAGGCATAATAAGCCAAATGAAGCTCAGAGATGATAATATCCTGTAAAACAGTACCTAAGTGTTCGTAGTTGAACAAAATAAGTTAAACTATAGTTTGAACTACCCTTAATTTTACGGTTTGAAGGATTATGAATTCGATCGCTTTTAACAAGTTTTTCAAAATAGGAATGGTGTTGGACAAACGTTTGAGTTATTTTCAAAATAACTACTACAAGCTATGCAGTCTTCAACATTCAATTTTTCACCCAAGCTTGTAGGTACTCTTTATAGTTGGAATTCATCAGTCTACAGGAGAATTTTAAAAAAAGCCATAAGAGAGTAGAAAGTCTTGAAAATAAAACTTTCAGAAGCTAACATTTGGATACACAGTGTGTGACTGACAGCACTAAGGCTCTTTCCGTATATACCTTGGACATCATACGTCCTCTTGAGATTCTCTGCCATCATTCTTGAACGATATTTGCTTTGATCAGTTTGCCGAAGGGTAATTGTAAAGTTGTTTGTCTCTGTAACTTTCTAAGCAGTCTCCACAGGGATTTTCGTTTGGGAAATCTCAGTCCCTAGAAATAAAACTGCTCATTCAATACGTAT